TCCAGGAAGCCCACCTGTGCATCCAGTACTCTCTCCCGGCTCTCTTAAGATCTGGGGCCAGCATTACAGAGTACCACAGACTCGAGGCTTAAAGAACAGAAATGTGTTTTCTCACAGTTGTGAAGGCAAGAAGTCAGAGTTGGTGCCGCCGAGGGCTGTCTCTGGCTGACGTAGGCCATCTTCTCTTCCAACCCCTTCCCTCTGGCCCTCATCTAAACACACTGATTATACTAGACTAGGTCCGCCCTAATGACCTCCTTTTAACTTAATTACCTCTTAATCGCTGTCTCCAATAGAGTCCCATTCTGAGGTACTGGGACTAGAACGTGAACATGTAAGTTTGCAAGAAACCCAAAACTACCCACAGCAGCCCCCCTGGAGGGCAAATCCTACTTGGGGTGAGACTTGGATGTGGTCTGCTGAGAAGAATATTGACCCTGTAGGGCCCTGCCCACCCCATCTGCAAATGGCAGGAGTCCCGTGCCAACATGCTAAAAACTACGCTTTGGGAGGGAGCGGGGCCCGCGGGGGCCAAGCGGTGTCCTTGGGGCAGTGACTGGTGTCGGGGCTAAGCCTTTCACCAAGCCGCCTAACGCACGACGCTCTGGGGCATCGACTAACAGCAAGAAATGCTTCTGCTCCTTGTCCTGCCCACAGAGTGGCAGCCCCTCCTCCAGATAGTCTTGCTGGTTTTTTTCTGGAAGGTTCTGGAGAAGCTTCTGGAAACCTAGGTTACCTCACAGTCGTCTCTGCTTCCCCTCCCCCCACTCCACTGCGTTCCCAGCAGCCTCTGCACCCACCGCTGCTGGCTCTCAGGTGTGCGGTGCGATCAACCTCCCTGCAGTCTCAGTCACTCCATGCCCCAAACATGGAAGGGGCAACCCCCCAGCCCACCCCACTCCAGGTTGGCATCCTTCTGTCCCCTGTCCCCTCTGAACCCTGCCCTGTGACCATAGCCTGTGCCTGGAGTTTCGTGAGGTTCGCTCCGGAGGGCTCAGGCTGAATCCACCCACTACCTTGCTGCCCGCCATCAAGCCGCAATTTTAACTCCACAGGCTCACAACCTGCGTCCACACAAATGGCTGTGCGGCCCCACCCACACCCTAGGACAGGCCCCCCACCCCCACGCCCCAGTCAGTTTGAAGTGTCTGGTCACGCTGGGGACACTGAGAGTCTACAGGCAGGGGCCTGTCTTCCTCCTTCCTTCTGCTGCCAACACGGTGTGCTGAGCCGGCCTGGGCCTAGCGCAGTGTAGGAGCTCAGGAAATGCCTGTGAATGGAATGATTTGCTGGCTCCCGTGGGATTTCTTAGAGACACAGTCTGCCTCGCATAAGCTAATACTAAAAACAACACCTGGTACCATTACTGAGCATTTGCTGTGTACAGATCCTGCATCATCTATGCCTCATAGCTCAGCACCTCCAAGACCCCCCTAGTGGGCCTCTAGCTGGCTTACCCAACGAGTAAACAGGAGGGGTCTGTCTGACCCAGGACTCCTGAATGCCCGGGCGCTGCAGACCCCCGCCCCGGCCAGATGCAGCCTGGGAAGGCAGCAGGGCCAGTCTGGACACAAAACAAAAGCTCGAGCTGTGACCGGCTCCAGGCTGCTGAGCAGGGGGATTTCAAGCAGTTTTGAAAGTACATTCTGGGGTCACTAGTGCGAGCTTGAGCCACTCAGAATGGCCTGAGAGGCCAAAGTGGAAATCCCCCATGGTGGAGGCCAGCTCTGCATCGCTTAGAAAGGAGGGCCTCTGGGCTCAGCTGTGAGGTTAGGTGAATTTGCTTAGCCCCTGTTTTTTCCTTTTTTTAAGATTTATTGATTTATGCATACAGAACTGGGATACAGCTAGAGGTGCAGGGCAGTGAGAGGACTCCAGAGACAGAGCGGGGAGCAGAACAGGCAGATAACAAAGTCCACTGCTGAGGGGAGCAGCGGGCGGGCCAGGAGAGGTCTGCCACGCCATGGGGGTCAGCTCTGGGACGGGCAGGCACTGAAGCAGCCATGGCTTGGGCTTAGCTTAGCTTCGCAGTGCAGCGCTCCAACCCACTGCGCCACCAGGGAGGACCCGGCCCCTGGTTTTTAACAGAACTTTATATTCTTCCTGGGGGCGGGGGGGGGGCGCGCCACACACATGCATGTATAATTACCCCCTGTGAGCTGGTCATTTAATCTGTGATCATGACCGCAGCCTCTGTGGATGCCTCAGGCCCCATCTTTCAAGTGGGAGCCTCAGAGAGACACATGAAAGGCAGGTGATGCCGGGCTTCAGCTCGAATTCAAAGCCCATTCTGGCTGATAGCAAAGCTGGCATTTTCTCTCTACCAGGCAATCTCAGTTCAGCATCGAGAAGCCTACCTGACCCTCCAGCAGGGTGTCCCCTCTGAAGCTGAAGCCCATTTCCTGCTACCATCATCTGCACCCCCATCACCCTCATCACCACCACCCTCAGGGGCACTCAGCTTAACAGAAGCATAACTTATATTCAGGACAACATACAAATTAAAAACGAATAGCAGAATAAATGTTCACAGTGTGAACACACCACAAGGTGACCCCCAGGAAACAAAACCTCGGCGGCTCCCGAAGCCCCTGGTCAGCCTCAGTCACCACCCTGTCGGCGAGCGACTGCCTCCCCACCTGTAAAAGCCACTTAGTTGGGCTGTGTGGGATAAACAGTTTGGCGGTCGGTACCCCCACGTCTGGCTCCTGGTGTTCTGTGCTGCATCAGCGTCTCGTGTGTCCCCCCCACATTGTGGTGTGTGGTTGTGGCTTGCTGGTGTGCTGTGACTGTCCACTGGCTGTACCCCTGTCTGTCCGTGCAGCCGCTGAAAGGCTTCAGGGTGGTTGGTTTGTTTTAAAGATGTATTGCACTTATTTATGCATACAAGAACTATAAGAACTATGGGGGCGGGGTGAGAGGATTCCCCAGAGACAATGGGGAGCAGAACAGGCAGTGACTGATACACACTGCTGAGGGGAGCAGCGGGGAGGCAGGAGAGGTCTGCTGCGCCATGTGGGTCACTCCCTGGTCAGGGTCCAACTCTTGCCACCTGAGTGGGCTAGTGATAGCGTGACAGTGCTGAGACTTTAACCCCTGCATCATCAGGGGTCCCGGCTTCCGTTTTTTTTTTTTTTTTTTTTTTAAGATTTATTTATTTATTCATTAGAACGGGGGTACAGGCCAGAGATGCCGCGGGTGAGAGGATTCACCAGAGACAAGGTGGGGAGCAGAAAAGGCAGATCGAGGAAGTACACTGCTGAGGGGAGCAGCGGGCGGGTCAGGAGAGGTCTGCTGTGCCATGTGGTCATCTCCGGGGCAGGCGGGGATCGAACTCATGCGGAAGTGGCTTAAGCTTCTTAGTGCTGTGCTTTAACCCGCTGTGCCACCAGGGAGGGCCCGGCTTCCGTTTTTAATCCAATGGCTTAGCCTCGGTGCAAGGGAAGTGGATCACCCCCCCCCACCACCACCACCACCACCACCAGGGATCTCAGGTCTCCTACTTCTAGTCTCTTCCCAGTTTCCTCCCCCTAAAATAGGGTCCACAACATCTCCTGGTTGGCTGGAAAGCTGAAACCAGATCAGAATCCCAGGGTACAGGCTGAGCAGACAGTAGCTTCTCCTGACAGCATTTTCACTCCCGCCTCCGAGCCCCCGCCACCGCCTGAGGGACTACAGCTCCGCGGTGTCACCAAGTGTTTCTCCTGTTGTGTCCAGGGAGCGAAAACACAGACGTTCACAGTTGCTGAAGGTGTGCAGAAGGTGGAAGTGAGAGGAGCTGGGTTTTCCCAGAAGTTTCCACACTGGATCTCTGCTGAGTGCTGGCAGGCATGAGCAGGCAGGGAGAGAACTGAGATGCCCTTACAGGAAAAGAATAGAAGAAAAGGTGATCTCTGGATTTAGTGTCAGCTGCGATGTGCACACGAAGAAGATGCTGGTGCGGCCGCAGCTCTCACGGCCCGAGCTCTAGCTAGAGACCCAGCCCTGCCCACAGCGCAGCCTTGTTTACTGCCCCGCAAGCCTAGAAAATAGCCTTGTTTACACCCCACTTTTACACATAAGGACATGGAAGGCCTGGAAGTGAGGCAGCAGTAATGCCGGGGTGGGGAGCAGGACGGGCAGCCGTGACCCAGGCTGTCTGGCTTTGGGGGGTCCCTCCCTCGCCCCTCCCCCTCCATGCAATGCTGCAGCATTGGAATGGCATTGTCTCTGCAGGTGAGACCTGGAGCAGGGGGTGGGGTCCAGGTGACCTCTCACCCCACAGCAATCAGAGGAGAGTGGACAATGGTCCTCTGAGGGCGCCCATTCCCCAGAGCTTGTGGAGGCAAAGTGAGTGGCCCCACAGCTGTGAGAGCTGCCGCCAGTGTGGGGACCCCAGAAACCCAGCTTCGCAGAGGTGCCTGGGGCTCTGGGTTCGGGACACTTGGTTCTGAGGCCTCCTTGTAGCATCTATCTCTCGCCTTCTCTGCCACTAGGGGTAAACCTTCTGGAATCAACAAAGGGCTTTGGGCCTCACTAAAGGACGTCGGCTGAGGTGGGTCCACCCACATGCCCCCACACCGCCCAGAGCCCGAGGACTGTTCTAGAGGTAAGAACACATCGTTTCACTGAAAGGAGGTGATGACCACATGGTGGGACGGCAGCGTAGTTGACGATCCCCCCAAAGCGACAGTCACAGCAGGCAAAGGTGTCAGCTCACACGTGGGCGCCTGACGCAAGGCTCACGCCATGTGTTTTTCAGTCAGAAATATTGATGGGGCTTGATGGCTTCCTATGTGATTTAAATTTTTGTCTTATTTATGTTTTCCAAATCTTCCACACTGAATATATGTGTTTCTTTGTAACCAAAATTTAAAATTCCCCAGTGTCAGAAAAGAGGAACCGGGAGCATTGTGGGCCTCCACTGGAGCAGACAGGGCGGGCTGCCCTGGGGCTGGGGGCCTGATATAAGGGCTGCCTGCTAGCCGTGGGCGGCTGTGCTCCTTCGCCGTGCTGGGATCATGGAGCTTCTCCTGCTGTGCACACTCGTGCTGTTTGCTGGTAAGTGGGACGGGATTGGAGACTAGGAGGGGAGCAGGGGTGCGGGTCGGCCCTTATCTCCTTCCTAAAGTTGCTGCTGTTCCAGCCCCCAGTGTCCTGAGTCCCCAGAACCCCAAGCCTCCCAGCCGCTGCAAGGAACCATCAGCAGCTGCCTCGATGGTGGCTTCAGCCTGAGCTCCCGGGGCCAAGCTGTGCGGCCCTCTGGGCGCTGTGGCGGTGAGGAAGTGGAGGCTGGGAGGCTGACGGCCTGCTGGCGTTTGGACACGGCTGCACAAATGAATGTCCCCTGCTCCCCTCCTCCCTCCTGCCCCCTGGACCCATAAATCGCATCTTTTCACATGCACAACTCTCTTGTGTCCACTACCTCTCCCAGAACCGAACAAAAATGTTCTCTTGACCTTTGGTGGAAAATGGGATTATTTCCTTTTTATCTTTTGCAGATCAAATGCAAAACTGTGGTTCTGAGCAAACTGGCTTTTTTCCCTTTTTGATCCATCTCGAAAGCTATGGCTGTAGATTGGCCTTTTTTATTTTTTATTTACATGTTAAGGGGACAGGTTTGTTAGCAAAGGAGAAAGAAAAGGAGAGACCACTGCATAGTCAGAGGTGGGCAGGAGCCGCCTTGAGCTTGCATTTTTTTTTTAAGATTTATTTATTTAAATAAATACATACATACAGAACTGGGGTACAGGCCAGAGGTGTGGTAGATTCACCAGAGACAGAGACGGGAGCAGAACAGACAGACTGACAAAGTCCACTGCTGAGGGGAGCAGCGGGCGGGTCAGAGAGGTCTGCCATGCCCTGTGGGTCAGCTCCCTGGTGGGGGATCGAACTTGTGCTGCAGTGGTTTCGGAGAGCTTCATAATGCGGTGCTTCAAACCGTTGCGCCACCAGGGAGAGCCCTGGCTTGCATTTTTAAATGTGGCTTTATGTTCTTCTGGGACTCCAAAATTCATAAAAGGAAACTACTTCCCGATACAGTAAAAAACGTTACGAAAATTGCAATCAAGCTGCAGGACCTCGCAGGAATTCACCTCTCAGACCTCAAGGCAGTGTTGAGAAAGATTAACCAAGGGCTGGCACCAGCGTTTCCCACGATACAACCACAGCTATATCACCCCACCTCGCGGTACCCTCATCTGTACCATGGGCACCCTCATTGGGGTGCTACACAATCCCTAATGAGAAAACGCATTCAAAGTGAATAGCAAGTAAAAATAAGGACACAATGGCGAGCCGGAGAGGAGCAGGAAGCCTCCAGAATGTGCCCTCCCACCCCCCACAGTCTAACTGTTGGGAGAAAGGACTCCCTCCCTCGCGCGGCAGCCAAGATGGGGAAACCCCACAACAGGCATTGCTGAGCTAAACAGCTCACCTAAACCCATTTCCATAGCTTGAGCTCCTTGGCTCCTCCGGCCTCACTATAAAATGACAGAGACCTCCCCAAAGCACGGTGAATCCAGTTAAATTCATCATCTGCCTGGGAGGGCGAGCGGCCTCACTCAGGTGTGACTGAAATGGGAAGAGCTAGACTCAGGGCAGAGTAAGGTGGGGTTGGGAGGCGCCCAACAGGCGAGATCCTGAGCTCAGTCCCTGGCGGCCCTTAGGGACTGAGCCTCTTTGCCACAGGCCTTCGGGGTGCTCACCACTGACTGGGGATCGGGAGGCCTGGCACCCCTCTGCAGCACGGCTGAGGCCTAGCAAGATGCCTCCGGCCCAGCGCGTCCAGCGTGGGCCACTGTGGGCAAGGAGGTGGCTGGGGGGGTCCCCCCCCACAGCAGGTTTGCGGGGACCAGACACTACCTGTCACTTAAGGCTGCAGTCCACTGTCACCTGTGTGGCCTCACCCCCGTCCCTGCCATGCCCTTTCTTCCCACCCCAACAATCCCCAGTGAGACTCACACCCTCCCCAGCCTCCCTCACTTACCTGAATTTGGGGGGCTCCATAACCAGAGGTCCCTGAGACTCTGGGCTCCGTCTGAGTTCACCTCTGGAAGTACGTGCGTATCTCAGCCCCCTCCTCATCTGGTCTCTTTCTCCCAGAGCCCTCTCTGAATTCATTGACTCAATATATTTTATTTCTCTTATTTCAGCAAAATACATCCCTCTCTTCCAATAAAATTAATTCCCCTCATAGTCAATTCTAACTAGCAGCTTTTAGAGCGGAAATGAAAAATATTCATGAAAATTGTTGATTTCTAAATCGCACCGCCTCCCAGGAGAGCCACATTTGCTCCAGGATGCGGGGGTGGGGCATGGAAGCTTCCAGAAAGGGGCCAAGGCCCAGTTGCTCTTTTCCCCACAGAGCAGAAACTCAGCGCCCACGGGTGGAGAATGAAACTACAGCGCCTTGGGCTTCAACCCAGACGCCACAGACTGGAGCAGTTCTCTGAGTCTTGGGCTGCTCGTTCATAAAAAGGGAATTGACAAAGAATTCCTGGTTTCTTAGGATTTTTGTTTTGTTTTTGTTTTATTTTATAACAGTTTATTTTTACATCATTTTGTACTTTTTTTTTTTTCATCTCAATTGTAATCCCCGCGGGTTTCCCATCACCATAATCCCGTGCACTTCCCTCCCCATTCCCCCACCATTCTGGTTTCTTAGTTTTAATAAACGGGCCGCAATGATGTCAGGCGATAACAGTAAAGGGAACTGGGTCCTAGGGTCCTCTGTGGGATCTTTGCAACAGCTACCCTGTGTCCCCAAGTGTTTATTCACAACAAAGACGTATTTATCTCGTGGGGTAGATGGGGCAGTGGCTTGATCAGGAAGGGACCCGCAGGGAGTCCGCACTGCTGGCGTTTGTGGTCACTTTACTACCAAGGGCCCCGGCTGGGTCCAGGCACAGCTGAGCTGCGTGTCCACCCCCTGCAGGCGTGATTCCAGCCCAGAGCTCGATCCTGAACCTGAACAGCATGATCCAGCGGGTGACCGGGAAGATCCCCTTCTTCTCCTACTGGCCCTACGGCTGCTACTGTGGCGTTGGCGGCAAAGGCCAACCCAAGGACGCCTCGGACTGGTAACCCCTCCCGGCCAGGCCCTCGCGGTCTGTGCTCGCCTCTCCCACACTCTCGACCCTCCTCTCCCCCAGCCTCTGTCCCCGCCCCCCACTCCAGGATGCACACTGTGCTGCTCACTGGGACGCAGCTGAGCGCCAACACCTGGACTCCGTCCAGGGCTCGGAGTCCCCTGGAGGCCTCTTTGCAAGCCCCAGCTGGTGACACACCCACCCACACGCCCCACGCGCCCCTGCAGATTTTCGCCATCGCCTGATGTGATCTTCACCACCACCCTGGGAATCAGCCAGGCCCTGGGTCACCTCCCATATCCATCACGTACAAGCTGTGTGGCCTCGGGGAAGTGGCTCGGCCTCTCTGAGTTTCGCTTTTCTCGTCTGTGAAATGGGAGCATTACTAATACTTCCATTACTGGAGGGTAGTGGGGATTAAGAGGGAATCGTAGACAAAGCGGGATCCTGCCGCACAGGAGTCCCTTGATGGTGTCAGCTAGCATGACAGAGACCACAGCCCCGCCGGCTTCGACTCTCCTAAGTGGACTCAGTTTCCTCTTGTGGGGTGCAGGCAGCCAGAGCAGAGTGAGTCAAGGCTCGATGGTGCAGCGGCGCCCACACCTGCCTCAGCTCCCGCCCTCTCTCCCCAGGTGCTGTAGGGTACACGACTGCTGCTATGCCCACCTGATGCACCACGGGTGCCAGATTTTCTGGGACAAATACAAGTACAACATTTCCCAGGGGAACATCCAGTGCTGTGAGTGCCCGGGACTCGGGGGTGCAGGTGGACGCAGGAAGGGCGTTCTGGCTTTCACTGCCTTCCTAGGCTGTGTGACAGTGCACAAGCCACTCGACCTCTCTGTTTTCTCATGTGTCCAAATGGCTTATGGAGGAAAGGCAGGAAGGAGGGTGGGAGGATGGAGAGGGCCAGTATGACTTTGACCCCTTCAGGGTCACCCCGGGCCCACCCTGGACCAGCTCTGTGACCTTGAGCACGTTGCTAGCCCTCTCTGAGCCTTGGTGTGCTGCCTGGAAGCTCAGAGTGGCACTCTACCCAATAAAGTGAATGCAAGAGCCACCGTGAGAGCAGACAAGGGGCCTGGCGGAGGGAGGCCTGCGGCAGAGGGCGTGCGGATGGCCACTCAGGCCAGAGGACACTGTCACTGCTGAGCCTCCCGGCAGCCCAGCACGGGGCACAGCCAGGGAAACAGACGCCAGAAGTGCCCAGGGCCCCACAGCACCACGCCACACCTGGGCTGGAGCCAGCTTCCCCAGCGAGGAGACCGTAGCAGGTCCCAGGCGGGAACTGGATGGCGCATCCTGGGTGGGGGCTTTACTAGCAAGGCCAACATTTTGTCGTGCATTCTGAGCCTTTTACCTTCCTACCTGAAGAAGCAATTCTCAAGGAGCTGCATTACCCCAGACAATGGAGCCAAAGCTCCCGTCCTTGCACCTCCTGGTCCCTCTGCCCGGAACCCAGCCCCCCACCGCTGCTGTCCTTCCCTAACGGGGAAACGCTTCAGCCGGCGACTCAGAGGCGCTCCTGTGCCACCAGGCTGCCGCTCTGTGTCCGTCCTGCCTTCCACGCGTGTCTGTGCTCGTATGTGCCCGAGTATCTGCCACCCCCACGAGTGTGACCTCATTGTCTATTGAATCACTCCGTGCCCCCTCCCCCACCACAGCTGGCAGGCGCTCACCTGCTCACCGAGCACCACCAACCGCACTCAGGAGCCATGCCCGCGCTTAAGGTGCCCAAGTCAGAGCCCTGGCAGCTGCGCTGGGTGCCCGAAGCTAGCAAAGACTGCCAGCCGGGCCCCCTCTCAGGGAGGAGCAGGCGCTGAACCCCTCCTCCCCCCACAGCCACCAAGGGGAGCTGGTGTCAGAAGAAGCTGTGCGCCTGTGACAAGGAGGTGGCCCTCTGCCTGAAGCGGAACCTGGGCACCTACCAGAATCGCTTGCGCTACTACTGGCGGCCCCACTGCCAGGGCCCGACCCCCGAGTGCTAGAGCCCGCCTGCTACCCCGCACCCTGTGCCGGGCCCCCCACAGCACATCCCACCCCCAGACCTAGCCACATCCCCCTGCAACCAGCTGGGCTGCTTTAAAACACTCTGGTGGAGGGAGGGACTCGGCTTCCCCCCTGCCCCCCCCCCCCCCCCCCAACTGCCCCTCTGGAACCTTCTAGACCCTCTGAAGGTAGAAGGGGTCTTAGGAAAGCCCAGACCAGGAGCCCCAGGGATGAAGTTTGGGTCAAAACAGGAGACGTGGGGTCAGGGTGTGGGGGGGGGGCTGTGGGCCCAGCTCAGCCCCCCCACCCCCCTATGCACTGTCCCCCACTGTCTCTAAAGGGCTACTCCTTAACCCCCCAGGCCCTCTCCGTCCCCCTCCGCGTCGCAGCTTGCATGCGTGTTGGGCACTCAAATGCTTGGTCCTGTCTCCCTCGCTCCCCGAGCTGGGCTTGGAGGTCCTGTGTTGGGGTGCCGGGGTGCGACTAGGACTCGGCTGCACCTCTCACGTCCAACACAAGTGATTGGAACCAAGAAAGCAAGAAGGGGCCCCATAAATGCAACGACGGGTGGGAGCAAGCCAGCTCCTGACGCTCCGGCCCCAGTTCCCAGGCGCAGCCCGCGTGGGCGCTTCTGTCCCTCTCCCGGCATCGCCCAAGCGGCCTCTGCAGAGCAGCTCTGCCTGCCTGTCACTCCAGGCGGATTAGCCCTCCCGGGGCTCCTCCGTGCAAGGGCTGCTTCCTGTGAAAAGCCCCTGGCTGATTCCTGCACCCCACTCCAAGGGCGCACCCCTCCAGCCAGGCCCCCGGCATCTGTGGGTCTGCAGCTGACAAGCTACATCGTGTGGCTGCTCTGGGCTTCCCTGACCCCTCCTGTCCTCACTACATCCTAGAGGATGGAGACTGGTCTGTTTCCTCTTTGCTTCCTCTGTTCCCCCATATATAATGGGTGCTCAATTAATGCAAATGAGCAAATGAGCCCACTGCGGATAGACGGAGGTTGTAGTAAAAGTGACTGGTGTCGACCCCTTTCAGGTCCAGTGCCCCACCCCTGAGCTCAGCCAGGTGTCAGCGGCTAAGAGCTCACCTCTGCCTCCTCCTGTTGATGCCCTTGTCTTCTGGGATCTGCCTTGCCCAGCTTCTACACCCCACCCCGCCCCGCCCAGCTCCAACTAATGGCGAGGGAGGGTAATACCAAGGAGGGTAATTGCCTGCCCACCCCATGCAGGACCAGCTGGGTGTCGCACTGCCCTCCCCGAAGAATCAGGCTAAAAGTCTGGAGCCACCTCTTTGCTTTGGGCCCGGCCCAGCCTGTCCGCCTTGTTCCCTTACAGGTCCCTGCTCAATAAATTTCTCACTTGCATAAGCATCTTCATCTCAAGCTTCGTTTTTAAGGAAACTGAACTTGGATGGATGGATGGATGGATGGATGGATGGATGGATGGTTGATTTTTTTCATATAAAGATCAACAATCTGTCACTTTTATGTGATTGTGTTTCCAGTAAAATGGAGCTAGGTGAGCTTGGATCTGCCCACACCCTCCAGCCTGTGACACACATCTGTAAAACAGCTGGCCAAGCAATTTTCCTTCTACCTGAAGCTCAGTGGCTCACGTGAGGCCCCACAGAAGGAATTAAGAACTACAGGAGCTGGGTTCAAACGCAAATAATACCCTGACTAGTCACATGACCTTACTCGAAGGATCTCGATTTCCTCCCTCGTAAAGAATAGACGAAAATAAGAAAAGAAGTCGAGATCAGTCTATTTGGTCAGATCAATAGCTATTAACTTCGTTGCACAGCGCCTGGAACACAGCAATCCCCCTTGAAATGCTACCTGCTGACCACGTCTGCAGTTACCCCCAAGATAAGTCACGAGAAAATAGCTCATCAGTGCTCTGCTCTTCCTAGCACATTCTCCCTGCTCCACACAAGTGGTGTCAGATCCTTGCACCCAAGACCGGCCGCCAAGAGCTGGCATCCCGACGTGCCCAGCAGGGGTCTGCGGCCAGGTTCTGGGACCCCGTGACTATACCAGCGCTGACGGGCTGAGTGCTGTGATTCCCATCTTCCCGTTGGGCAACCCGAGGCTCCACACGGGGCCAGGAACGTCCTGAGCAAACAAGCAGCAGAAACAGAGGCAGGATCCTCCCCAGACTCTTCCCACTCTGCTTCCTGTCCCATTGTATTGGTCAGGAAGCTTCCAGATGAAAACTGTGACTCAAGCAGCCTCAACAATGAGGGCATTTATGACCTCACATGACAAGCAGTCCAGAGGGAAGGTGGCTCTTTAGTGGCTTGATGATGACATCAGCACCCAGTTCTTCCCTGTCCGTGGCTGGTGCCCTCAGTGGGTTGGCTGCACACGCTGGGCAGCCTCTCGGGCTCCAGGATGGTAACCCTGGATCAGCCCTCAAGCCAGCCAGGAGCGATGCCCTCCAGCAGGGGATGCTGGCCAAGTCACCTCCCCTACCTTAAACCAAGGGGCCCAACATGATGGGGTCATCCTGCTTGGTTTAGAAGCCTCGAGACTGTTTACCCCCGAGAGGGGCCGGGGCGGTGGCTGCCATTGGGGTTGGATAGGCAAGTTCAGGGCTGGGGCAGGGGCAGGGCTGTGCTGGGAGTGCTCCCCTTGGGGCGTGCAGCAGCAGCGTAGGGCCCACGGACACATAGTAGGGCAGCAGGTGTGTGGTGAATGACTGAATGAGCCCCTAGGTTGGTAAAGATCTGGGTTTTTGTTCGGTTTTCTTTAAAGATTTGTTTACTCATGTATACAGAACTGGGGTACAGGCCAGAGGTGTGAGGGTGAGAGGATTCACCAGAGTGGGGAGCAGAACAGGCAGATTGACAAAGCACACAGCTGAGGGGAGCAGCGGGTGGGTCAGGAGAGGTCTGCGCGCCACGTGGGTCGGCTCCTGGCTGGGGGTCCCAGGCAGTGGCTGCCATAGCTTCACAGTGTTGCGCTTCAACCTGTTGTGCCGCCAGGGAGGCCCAGCGATCTGGGTCTTTGGGTCTCAAGTGGCCAGGCCTCTTGGTGGGATCTCAGGGCTGAGCCCATGGGGTTAGGACAGAGGCGCCACCCTGTGGGTTCTCACTCCTGGCTATTTTCCAGTGACTGAAAGTGACGAAGGCGCAGGCAGGTCTAGTCTCTGCATGGAAAACGCGTCACTGACTCCAGCTCCCTCCAGACAGCCTGCCAGGGGAGGGGCGGCCCTGATACCAGACAGCCGCGGAAACCACTCGCCCACTCCTCTCCACTCCCCTGGGACAGTGCTATCATCCCCTGCATTTTCCAGTCACAGAGACTGAAACTGGAGGCTGAGTCACTTGCTGCTAAGTGCCAGGGCTGGGATTTGAACCCAGGTCCCCCTGGCTGCGGGCCACATCTCACCCTACCTCCTCCGCTCTTGCTCTCGACTAGCCAGTTGGTGACTCAGCCCTGGGTGTCCCTTGGGGAAGGGGAATAGTCATACCCAGGGACCAGGTGAGGGAGGGGCGAGTGGGGGCAGCTACCTGGGGGAGGGGCGTTGAGCGGTCTTCACCCTGACAGCAACAGACGCACTGGATAGAGCTCGCGATTGGGCCCGTTGTCCAGCCCAGAGCCTCTTCCCACCCAAGTGGCCGATCCAACTCCGGTCAAGGTTTCTGGCCTCCGCCCCCGTGCGTGGGCCCCCCCGGGCCGTGATGGGGGGAGGACATCACTTCCGTGGTCGGAACACCCAGTCCCGCTGGCACAGCCTCCGCGGCTCCCTCCCAGCCCAGCTCAGTGCGCCCCTGCCTTTGAAGGCGACATTGGCACTTGGTCCCTGACGTCCTCGCTCTGCTGAGGTCAGCCAACAGCCGTCCTGACCCTGGGGCAGCCTGGACAGGCAGCGTCAGGACCCAGCCGCCCGTCCAATTTACACGCCTCCATTTTTTTCATGTGATTTTCATTTAAAATGGCTCAGAGAGATTCTAAATGTTTGTAAAAACTCAGGTCAGAGAAAGCCAAGGGCTTCTCTGTTCTCTCTGCTCTAGGCCCTTGGCCACGAGATGGTCCCCTTCTGTCCAGGGGTCAGTTGTCGAGTCCCTCCCTGGACAGAGGCCCCTGCCCTCCCAACCTGAGGCAGCCACCTCCCCACCCTCCGCCCTCTTCAGTTCTCTGCTCTAGACCAATGGTTTTCTCATCACTCACTCAGCCCTTTGTTTCTCTCAGTCCAGGCTTCTAGAATCAGCCGGCCAGGGAGGGAGCAGGACACCCCAGCCACAGCAAAGCAAGGCTTATGAAACATCCTGGCTGCGCACCCCTCCCTGGCCCAGATACCCCAGGTTTGAGCACTGCAAAACAGAAGGAGGAGGAAAAATTCAGCCCTGGCGGCTACTGGCTTCCTCAGGGGAGAGGGGAAAATGCCGCCCCGGCCCCCTGTGCTGAGAACCTTCCACAGCGGCGCCCCCATCAGGTTCTGAGACCCCCAGAGAGCATCAGACTGTGTGTATATAAAACACTTTCCTGATACATACATGCCTGTGATAAAATTCAATTTGTAAATTTAGGCACAGCAAGAGATCAACTTAATAGCCAATAATAAAATAGAGCAATTATAACAATACACTGTGATAAAAATTTGTGTGATTGTACCTGGTATTTTCTTTTCTTTTTTTTCCCAAGAGTTCTTTCTTTATGCACACAAGAGCTGGGGAGCAGCTCTGAGGTGCACAGGGTGAGTGGCTTCACTAGGCGCAGTGGGGAGCAGAACATGCAGGTGAACTCAAATATACTGCTGGGAGGAGCAGCGAGTGGGTCAGGAGAGGTCTGCTGCGCCCTGTGGGTCAGCTCCCTGACCGGGGGTAGCTGCAAATAGCTTCATAGTGCTGTGTTTAACCCCTTGTGCCACCAGGGAGGGCCCTGTACAGGCTATTTCCTGACCACAGAGGGACTGCAGACAACCGAAACAGTGACTAGGGGCTCCCTGGACAGAGCTTCTCATTTACACTTCATTATGCATGGCCCTGCCAGGTGGGT